GAGGAATTACTGAGGTTCTTTGGCTAAGAAAACTCCTTAAAGATTTGGGGTATCCGCCAAAGGGTAAGTGTAGACTAATGTGCGATAATACCGCTGCTATTCGTATATCAGAGAATCCAGTACAACATGATCGTACCAAGCACATCGAGATTGATCGTCACTTTATCAAAGAGAAACTCGAGGCAGATATCATCAGTCTTCCATATGTCCGATCTGAAGATCAATTGGCAGACATTCTCACAAAAGCAGTACCAGCTGGAGTCTTTCAAGCAACATTAAGCAAGTTAAACATCCGAAGTGGATGATTCAACTTGAGGGGGAGTGTTAGAAATATCAAACAAAAAGGGAATAGTGTAATATCTTGATAATGTCCTTGATTGGAATCAAATTACCAATCAGGATATTTGATTAACTTCCACTCACTTTCCTTGATTGTCTTCATTATTAACTTTGTAATATATATAGACATCATTAGAGATGTATTCAAGTAGATGAACATTTTCATCTGTGAATTGATTCTATATTTCTAATAACAAGAATCTGATTTAGTTGCAGGGTTGGTGCTGCGAGAGGAATCGCAGGGAGGGGGGCGGAATTGCAGTGGGGTGAATCGAAGCAAGAGGGGGGGAGAACATACCTGGGATGGAGTTGCAGCGGCGGCGCGAGGTGTATGGCGGACGAGAGGTCTGTGACGGCGAGAAGAAACGGAGGGGTGAGTCGCAGGGATGAGGAGTGTCGAATAGAAAAAGCGGGTAATAGGAAAGGGAATGATTTTTTTTTAAAACAAACAACAACAATGGGAATCAGGGAATCCCATTCCGTTTCCTGATTCCCTTACCCCTGACCAAACGCCCCCTTAATGTTATACAATGAATGCTACTTCACAAGAACAGAGTGCGTTATAAAAAACGAAATAAGGCAAAGCTAAAGAGAAATGACATTCCTCGAAAAAAATAGAAAGGACAGTGTTCTCAAAGACACCATAGAAATTGAAAAAACAAATTCTTATTGACTCGAAAAAATGGAAATCCTATCCCAAAAATCCACATCCAAGGAAAAAAAAGAATGTCGTAAAGCATTAGAAATAAATTTATGAATATTCAATTTTAGATCCAATACTGAGAAAGTCTAATGAGATTGCACATACCAGAAAAAGTGATTGAGTGTGAGATATGAATGCCTTTTTCATTAACAGTATGCATCAACAGTCTGATATGGCATTAATAAACCCTAAAAATGGATGGAGACCAAAATACAACTTGATTTCTTTTTCGATTGTACGCCCGCAGAGAAGGTACAAAAGAAGAAAGAATTTAAAGAGAATGATGTGCCCCTCGTCAAAGATGAAAGTTGATAGAGTTTCTCTTTGAATTGGAATTTGGAACACCACAAAAAAAAAATCAGGGCTGCCATTGCTGGATAAAAAAAAACAAAGAGCAAAAATGGTGGAGGTCGTGCGTGATATACTGGGGCGATAGAATATTGATTTTGAGGGACGGGGGATCAAATGTAAAAACCCAGTTATAACCCTGGACGCACGCGAGAACAAGAGGCAGATTTTATGGTTCTTAATTCATTCTTATTTCTTTCATAAAATTTTACTTTCACCAGAAACTATATATACACACACACACACAAACAGTGTGTGTGTGCGCGCGTGCGTGTGTACACACACACATACATACATTCTTTTTTCTAAAGTAAGACTAATCTTTAGAAAAAAAACAAATGATAGAGGTAGAAAGTCATTTTAAATATTTAAATCAAATTAAAATTTACAAAAAATTAAAAAACAAAAATTGATAAAAATAATCATAATTTTTATTTTGTTACAAAAAACAGGCAGTTTTTGTGAATCCATCGTTAGTAACTTAACAGCGATCTAAGACATGCAAATTTTATTTTTTAAATACCATGTAAAGTTTTAGAAAAAAAGAAAATATTTTATGGTTGTCACAAAGTGTGAAGTGAGCCATGTGAAATTTCTTTTAAAGGAATGAAGTAGGATCCCCACGGCCCACCCCTTCACAAAAAGGAGGACTTTTTGAATGGAAAAAAGGGTAAAGAATAAAATAAATACTTGGTCCGTCCCTGAGAGTTTGTCTACTTTTGATTTTTGGAATTGTTCATCTAAGCACTTTGACTCATCAAATTCTCTCAATGTGTAAGCCTAAAAATAGTCATGTGTGATCTTGTTTGATTCGTCTTAACATATAGATTATTGATATATAATTTTTTAATATACAAATTACAAGATAAAATGGATTAAAAAAGTGCATTAGATGGTGTGCAAAAATGAAAATGAACAAACACTCAGAGACGGATACTTTGTACCGTGATTACACTTTAAAGGTGCCCTCTTAAATATTAGTGGGGCTGGCTTTGACCAAAATTAATCTTTAATACCCCGGAGTATATCAAAATACATGTCATATAATTCCAAAATTAATCTTTAATATCCCAGAGTATATCAAAATAAATGTCATATAATTCATAAAAATTTATAATATAGAAATTTTCAATCAAATGCAATGAAATGGTTAAATCTGAGCGCATCAATAATGTACCGGAGTAATATTTTTTATAACTAAGCCAAATTTAGTAGGAACAAGTATTTTTTTATTTCTAATTTTTTATACTTTATTTTTATATTTTTTTATATTTTTATTTTTTCTAGAGAGTGTGTTGAAAATATTGGAATAATAATATTGCTCTTTGAATTATGAAGTACATGATAGAGTATATATAGGAGAGACTCCTAACACAACTAGGAATAGAGAATGGAAACTAACTAACATACAACATCTAGCTACCACAAATAGGAGTAGGAAACTGATTAATAATCAAACACTACCATAACCAATACTACTAGAAGTACTATTAGTATTATTGTCTAACATCCCCCCTCAAGCTGAACTCTGGCTGAAGCAAGAGGAAGCTTGGACACTAGCTGGAAACTGGAAACTTTGAGAAGAGAGAAGTCTGACATGCGCCGGTGGCTGCTCAGATCACGTCGTTGGAGAAGAGAGAAGTCTGACGTGCGCCGGTGGCTGCTGACGTCGATGGAGAAGAGAGAAGGTTGACGTGNTAATAATCAAACACTACCATAACCAATACTACTAGAAGTACTATTAGTATTATTGTCTAACATCCCCCCTCAAGCTGAACTCTGGCTGAAGCAAGAGGAAGCTTGGACACTAGCTGGAAACTGGAAACTTTGAGAAGAGAGAAGTCTGACATGCGCCGGTGGCTGCTCAGATCACGTCGTTGGAGAAGAGAGAAGTCTGACGTGCGCCGGTGGCTGCTGACGTCGATGGAGAAGAGAGAAGGTTGACGTGAGCTTATAGCTGCTGACGTCGAAGAATAATAGAGAAGGCTACTGGAGGTGCCTGTTTGATTGAAGATTCTTGACATTTTTTGTCTTTTTCTTGGATCGGGCAATGCCCTATTTCCTTCTTGAAGGGGTGAGTTGTAGAGGTCTTATTTCCTCTTTTCACTACTTCCCCTCTTGGCTTTGCTTTTGTGCTGATTTACTTTGGATTTTTATTGGTTCAACAGAAGAGAAAAAGAAGGGAGGTTGATGATTAGAATGAGTGATTTTAGAGAGAAAAAGTAGGTTAAGAATTGAAGATGGAAAAAAAAATTTGGGTCTGAGATTTTGATATGGTGAATTGGAGAGAAACAACAATCATTTTTTTCTCTTTTTTTTTGAGAAGATAGGATGATCTGAGAGAGTTTGTGAGAAGTTGGGTTTTTTTTTGAAGAACCATGGAGATGACAACACAGAAGTTCCTCCTTTGATAGTTTTTTTTGTGTGATTTCAACGAGGGTTTTTTTTTCTTTTTTTCATTCGAATGGAGAAGTTGATTTGAGGATAAAGAAGGAAAAGAAAATAGAGGTGAATAGGGTGGAGCCGCCGTCGCCGGAATTACCGGCAACGGCGGCGGAAGCAATTAACTCTTTTAGGTCACCAAGAGCGATGACTCTGATACCATGTTGAAAATATTGGAATAATAATATTGCTCTTTGAATTATGAAGTACATGATAGAGTATATATAGGAGAGACTCCTAACACAACTAGGAATAAAGAATGGAAATTAACTAACATACAACATCTAGCTACCACAAATAGGAGTAGGAAACTGACTAATAATCAAACACTACCATAACCAATACTACTAGAAGTACTATTAGTATTATTGTCTAACAGAGTGATTACATTTTAATATTTTATTTTCTCATTTCATTTATTTTATTATATATTATTATGGGTATTTTTTATTTTAAAATTTTAGTTTTGTACATATATTTATAAAGAAAAATAACAAAGAAAATTATTTTATATTTTTAAAGTGCTCGATATTCCATTGGCGATTAATGCAGGGGAATTTAACCAATTTCTTCTTTTCAAAGCCAACCTGCGCAAAAAGAGGGCATTGTTCATCTCTGCATTCTCTTCCAATTTCTTCTGCTGCTTTCACTCTCTTAATTTGAAGTCGATCTTGGAGGCATGCATGTCCATTCCAAAAATCATTAATGGTTCAATCAATTCGGCTATTTTGCTTAATTATTACTCTCTCCGTCCGGAAATATTTTTTCGATTTTCCTTTTTGGCTTGTCCGGAAATATTCTTCCTATTTCTTTTTTAGTATACTTTTTAAAGATAAATTTCAATAATACCCTTCTATTATATCACTATTTTACTTTTTTAGTGCTTTTTAATAAGAAAATGAGATTTAAAAATTTATAGTATGTGGATTTTTGAAAATTTTGCATTTTTTTTACTATTTCTTATTAAGCGTGCCAAGTCAAGACAAAAAGAATATATTTCTGGACGGAGGAAGTATTCAATAAGTAACAATAACAAAAATCTTACACACTTCAATATCAATAATTTAATCCTAATTATTACTACCTCCGTCCCGCGATATTCGTTCACTTTTAACTTTTGAAACTGTTCAACTAAGCACTTTGATTCATCAAATTCTCTCAATGTGTAAGCCTAAATATAGTCATGTGTGATCTTTTTTGATTTGTTTTAACATATAGATTATTAATATATAATTTCTATAATTTTTTAATATACAAATTACAAGATAAAATGGATTAAAGAAGTGTATTGGATGGTGTGTAAAAATAAAAGTGGACAAATATTCTGGGACGGAGGAAGTATATTGTTTTCCTTAAGTAGTCTTTTGTTAACATTTCCGTTAAAAACGTGGATAAAATTGTAATTTCACGCTCTTCTCTCTCCTTAATTAAGCTTCCTCCCTCCTTTAGCAACAATCGTTTCCCAAATCTGTCACTGAGTTCGAATCTGTGAACCCAAAGTCGAAACAATCACTCCTCTATCAATTGTTCGTCTTCCTGGTGGAATCTAAAATCGAAACCAGTAACTTTCAAGAAGACAAACAATTGATAGAGAAGTGATCGTTTTGGTTTTGGGTTTAGAGCTTCATACTCAACAACGGGTTCGAGAATAAGTACGAGAAGACGGAGAAAGCTTAATTGAAGAGAGAGAGAGAAGTGTGGATATATAAATATATCCATGTTATTAACGGAAATGTTAACAAAAGACTATTTGTGTAAAACAATATACTCCCTCCGTCCCACTCTCTTTGTCCACTTACCTTTTGGCACACCATCCAATGCACTTTAATCCATTTTATCTTGTAATTTGTATGTTAAAAAATTATAGAAAGTATATATTAATAATCTATATGTTAAGACAAATTAAACAAGATCACACATGACTATATTTAGGCTTACACATTGAGAGAATTTGATGAGTCAAAGTGATTAAATGAATAGTTTCAAAAGTCAAAAGTGGACAAAAAGAGTGGGACGGAGGTAGTAATAATTTGGGATTAAATAATTGATGGGTATGGACTGAATATGTTGGAGAATTTACTCTATTACTTACCTTAAAATGGAGTAAAACAAAGAAATATTCCACTAGTTACTACTAGGCTTCCAATAGGAGACAGCATGAAGAACCTTCCCCTTCCATCCTTGCAGCAACCAGTTCCCATCTTCATCCACCGAGAAATTCTTGTTGTACTCTGATTTCACCTTCTCCCTCACACACTCGACAATCTCTTGATCCAGCGGCAGCGGCCGGAACCCAGCCCTGATGCTTCTAACTTGCCACTGCTTGTACGTCTCCGGCCTCTCAACTCTCTCCGTTCCCTCACAAGCTATCACATTCAGGGCTTCTCTCCCGAACACCATCTCCTCAAAGAGCCGCCTGTCGCCGTCCTCGCGCGCCACCGTCTCTTCCAGTATGTCGAAGAGCGAGGAGAAGTGGAAGAGCGTCTCCCGGAACCGCGTGGGGAAGTACGGGGCGCTGTGGGCCCCGTTGACGATCCCGTGGACGAACACGTCCGGGTTGATGTGCTTTATCAGGCTGAGGACAGTGTCCCTTGGGCTGTCCGGCACCACCGTCTCGTCCGGCACGTTTCCGAGCCGGTCCAGGCAGTTGACTATTACCACGTCGTCGTCCCGATCTAGCCGGAGCTCCGCGAGCTCTACAGTCTCCCATTTCTTGGCAATCGCGTTGAACTCGAACGGGACGTTGAACTTCCGGCAGTACTTCTCGAGGCGAAGACCGGTGGCGTTGACCCGCTCCGCGGGACGGAAACCGGGCTGGGGAAAGTCTATCCCGGTAATACGGAGTCTCGGGGGCCCACCGGGCCTCGCCGAGAGACGTTGGATCAGACACGCCCATTGGAAACCATACAGAATTCCGAAATCAATGATGTGCAGCCTGGCTGCTCCTCTGGTGGCCGCAAGCTTCCCGATGTATTTGTTGGCCATCATGGCGGAGGCGGTCTTGAAAGGGCTGGCGGCGATATACATCTGATAAGCTTTCAGGACGTCCGCCGCCGATGTATTGCCGGGAAGGTGAGACGTGTAGAGCGACGTTCCCGCCCCGTTCAGGCGGGCGTCGAGGGCGTTGGCGAGGTAAAACGCCACCCTTTCGATTCCGTTGCCCTGAGGAGTGGCGTGCTGCCTGATCTTCTGCAGAGTCCCCATGGCTGTCCTGATTTCTTGATTCGCCATGGAGTTTGCACATTGGGTCAGTAAGCTTCTGAAATCCACGAATTCCTGTTTCGTTTTCTTCTTCCCTCTTCTTCCTCGTCCTCTTCCCCCCTTGGATTGCTCACTCTGCTGTGATGGTTGTTCAGACTTTGGGTCTTTCCTGGTACAGGGAAACAAATCGTCGAAGGCGACCTCGGATTCGTCGGAGTAACTCGCCAATTGTTTGTTCCTGGGCTCTTGATCATTTTCCGAGGAAGAAGAAGTGGAATTGTGGTTCCTTTTCCCCTTTCCCTCGGGGGAACCGTTGGCGACGGGGGGACTCAAATCGAAGGAAGGTTCATCGGAAGAGGAGGAGGAGTTGGTCAGAGAACTGGTCCAGGAGAACCCTTCCGGCGGCGGCAGAGGAATGACGCCGGCGGCGGTGCCGTTGAGAGCATCGGAGAAGTACTTCTCGGTGGCTTGGAGAGCCATACAGTCTCTGAACATGCAAGGCTGAGTCTCCAGGTCCTCTTCCTCCATCAGCATCTGGCTTATGTACTTGAGGGTCGTAGCAGGGTAGTCACCTTCTTCTTCCCCTGTTTCTTGGGGTTGATGATGAGCAGGAGGTTTCTTCATCTGGAGGAGATGATTGGTGTTGAGGAATCGCATCTGGGAATCCACTGGGTTATTCGAGTGGTGGTTGTAGACGAAGTCGTTTGATGTGGCTATGAATTCTTGGAACAGAGCCTCCATTGTCACAGATTTGAGTACTTCAGAGAAGGGAGATGGGGAGAAGAAAGTTGGCTCTCTCGTTGTTTTATACGGAGTAGTAAAAGGGAGAGTCCTCCATTGACTTTCACCCCCTCGTTTAGACGACAAAAATATGGTACCGAGTAATTATTTAATTCATTTTGTTTATTTATTTTAATTACTCATTTCATAAAATAGTATAGTGTTGTCATCTCTAGTATTGTAAAACTTTTCATATAGTTTATTGCTACATAGATTTTATATTAAAATTTTACCCCTATATTCAAATAAATTAAATTGAAAATAAAGTCGGTCAAGCCTCGTAACGCGCAACGGAAAGATCTTAGGTGGAAGTAAATTTAATCTAATACTGTATTTCATTCCATCCGTCCTCATTTTGATTACAATTTTATTTTCTCACACATAATCACATCTCAATAACTTTTGTTTATTTATATATTTTCATTAATAATTGGATAAAATAAAATATTCTTGTAACAAATCATCTTAAATATGAGTAAAACATAGAGAAGTTACATATTTTTATAGTCTAAATAGAAGTTTGCAATGTGGTAATATGCACTGTACATGTGCATATTAATATACTACTCCCTCCGTCCACAAATAAACTTTACGTTCACTATTCACAGGGTCAAACTTTATTCACTTTATTGGCCTATTTTTGTCACCCATTTGATAAAATAATATAGTCATGTTACCTCTAGTTTTGTAGATCTTTTGATATATTTTTTTAATATGCAACTTTTATTTTTCAATTCTACACCATTTTTCATATAAAATGATTTGAAAATAACTTCAGTCAAACATCGTAACGCGTAATGTAAAGTTTATTTGTGGACGGAGAGAGTATTTGGTAGTGTACATGACCATGATTGGTAATGTAAATACACTTTAACTCCTATTCCAAGAATAAAAATATAGAACTCTTATTTTGATATATTATCAATGTTTTACTTCTATTTAAGTCTTTCTCCCGATTCTTGTCAACTCTTATTTTACACTCTCTCCGTCCCAAAATAGATTACAATTTTTTCTCTCTCATCTCGATAACTTTTGTTTGTTAACGTGATTTCATTAACTATTTGATAAAATAAAATATTCTTGTCAATTCTTGTTTTATAGAACTTTTGACGTAGTTTTTTAATATGTAATTTTTATATCTCATTTATATACCAATTTGTAAACAAAATGATTTCAAAAAATAGAAAATTTTATTTCGTTACCCGCAATTTGTAATAAAATTGGGGACGGAGGGAGTAGAATTTTTGATGTAGTCTTTTAATATTTAATTTTTATTTATTATAGATATACCAATTTGTAAATAAAGTAATTTCAAAAAGTCGTAGAATGTTATCTCGTAATTCTCATTTTGTAATCAAAATCGGGATGGAAAGAGTAATTGAATACTCCCTCCGTCAAACAATAATGTTCACGTATAATATTTACATGATCTAACTTTATTCTTTTTGTTCGCCTATTTTCGTGTCTTATTTGATAAAATAATATAATGATGTCATTTTTAGTTTTATAGATCTTTTCATGTTATTTTTAAATAAGTAAATTTTATTTTTTAATTTAATATAATTTGTTATATCAAATAATTTAAAAATAACTTCACTCAAATAGTTTTATTCAAATATTTTTTAAATATATATGGATAGTTTTAGTTTTTGTCGTGGAGTAAAAAATACGCTGTAGGTGAGAATGAATTCTTAATATTCGGATGATTTGATTTTTTTATTGAATAGCAAAACAACAATAAAAATAAACGTAATAATTAAAAAAAGTTCATAACACGCCACTATGAATAAAAACATACAACGAAAATACAATAAAATTCAAATTTATTTTTTTATGAAATTATTGATTAAAAGTATTCTGGGGTCAATGTGTAAGTTAGATAAAATACATTGGTAACATTGAAAAAGTATAGAATGTAAGAGCATTCACAATGGTAAGACAATGTCTTGTCTTGCATAGCCATGCCAATAAATGCTACTCAAATCATGACATTTCATGGTCGTTCCACTCCACTTTTTATTCCATGTGCAAGACATGACTCCCTCATTTTTTTATATTTTTAATTTTAGAAATTTTCTAAAAAAGAAGTAGACATATTTTAATAATAAAATAAATGTGTAAAATAATTTTTGATAATTAAAAATCATTAAAAATTATAAAAATAGACAAAAAAATGACTTGTCACTGTATGTTACGATAATCCACTCATTTGTCATACGGTGAATAGGTTATTTTTTATTTTTTGAAATAGGTCATGTCACCGTGTGACATTTCATTTTTATCTTACCATGACTAATGCTCTAAGTGAAAAGAAAATAATGGTTAGAGCAAAATTACTATTTGACGTGACATTTATTAAAAATGGGTTGGACTTGAGACTAGATATGCGGATTTAAAGAAAGGTTAAGGAAGGTAAAGTCATCACTTTTATGAACAAAATACCATAAAACCTCGTTCGCTACATGGAATTAAAACGATGGAATTGGAATTTAGGACTTCAATTCTAATTTTGATGTTTGGTAGCACATAAATTATGTGGATTTGGGATTGATAGTGTAAAAATGAATTAGAATTAGTGTATTCAATTCTATAGAATTGAATCCTATAGAATTTTAATTTCAATTCAATTCCAATCCCATCCATTTCACATACCAAACGGACCTTAAGTTTTCAATCGGAATAATAACTTCTATGACCACTGAAAAAACAATGGTCATAGAAGGGCCAGTATTAAAAAAAAATGGGTTGGGTAAAGAATTAAAGATTGTTTAGGTATTTACGATTAACACGAAATACTCCTTTCGTCCTAAAACTTTCTTCCCACTTTCCCATTTTCTTCGTCCTAAAACTACCTTTCCATTAGAAAAAAAAGATGACAAATGACATTAATACACTCATGTATTTACTCCAATTATCTTCTAACTCTATATTTTAAATGGTTGCAAAAAAAATTCAAAAAATCTTTTTTAAGGAGGGTAAAATTTGAAGTCAAAGCCAAAAATTAAAAATGAGGAAAAGTCAAACTGGAAAGAAAGAATTAGGATGGAGAGAGTAATTGAACTCCCTAATTCAGTGCCAATTATTGGGTGCTGTCACATTTCAACCACCAGCCAATTTCCAAGCAATATTCACACTTGCGGGGCCCACGTTATGTTGTTTTTTTTTTCCTTTCAAAAACGTCACTGCATACGTCTTTTGCATTGTGAGAGCATCTTCATCTTCTCCCAAAGGAGAGTAAAATTGGCTTTGAAAATACCCACTATATTGTGTTTCACTTTTACCGATCAAAAGCTTTCTTTTTGATGAAATTGACTACTCCCTCCGTGCACAAATAAACTTTACGTTCACTATTCACATAGTCAAATTTTATTCACTTTGTTAGCCTATTTTCGTCACCCATTTGATAAAATAATATAGTCATGTCACCTCTACTTTTGTAGATCTTTTGATATAGTTTTTTAATATGTAATTTTTATTTTTCAATTGTACATCATTTTTCATATAAAATGATTTGAAAATAACTTCAGTCAAACAACGTAACGGATAATGTAAAGTTTATTTGTGGACGGAAGGAGTATAATATATCTCCAATTAGAGTGTTAGATGATTAAGGCCTTGTTTGTATACTAGCAGTTGGTAGTTGGCTGTTGGCTGTTTATGTTAGCTGATTTGAATGGCTGATTCAGTTAGCTGTTTTGACCGGCTGTTTCTGTTAGCAGTTAAATTTTAAGTGTTTGGCAACTTTAGCGGTTTATAGTTAGCTGTTTGTAAATAAAATTACATAAAAGGACATCCCTCCATTTATGGTATATTTTATTTTACAATTTTTTTAAATATCATATCATAAATATATTTTTTTAAAATTAAAAAAATTAAATAAAAAATTACACACACACACACACACACATATATATATATATACATGATATTTATTTTTCATTTTTTTACATGTAAAAATTAAATCTTTACTATATGGAATATTAAATTTTAATTTCATTTAATTCATAATAAATTATAAATATAAATTTTTTAATGAATTATAAATATAATTTTTTTTAATTTCATTTTATTTTTTCGTATTTAATTTTTTTAACTTTTATTTTTATTTTTTACATATATTATAAAATATATTTCAACAAAAATGATTTTAAAAAAAATATTTTTCCTAACCGCCAAGTCCAAATGCTACTCACCTTGGCATTTGAGATTTTGGCTTTTCGGATCAAAATGCCAAGTGAAAAAGCCATTAGCCAAACAATGGTTTTGGCGGTTCGCTTGGTCAAAAAAACCAAAGTCAGTCAAAGATGCCAAAAGCTAACCTAAATGCTGTTTTTCAAACACGGCCTAAACCAATTAGAGTGTTAGATGATTAAAGTCAAAAAACCAACTCCAATTGGTTTTTGCAAGAAAAACCAACTAGAGTTATTGAATCTTCGATAGAATAAAATAGTTGTCACATGTTGTTTATATGACTTTTGATGTTATTTTAAAATATTTTATTTTTTACTCTTTATTTCTATACTGATTTTTAAATAAAATATTTTTTTAAAGAAATTTGCACATGGTAATTAGTGAGACAATATTTTTAGGATGAAAGGAATAGTAAATCATCAAGACAATTTATAGAGTAAATTTTTTTATAAAAAGAGTTAAACCTAAGAAAAATTACTTAAATAGTAGTAGAGCATAATCAATTTACATAAGTAGGACCATGAGTAATTAGGAGTATCTAATTACTTAATAACTACTCGGGTAATTAGTCAATTGTTAATATCAAAATGCCTATTTTTAATTTTCAACCCTTAATTCATAACCATATCCACTCCATGGTCGCCACCCTGTTGCCCCTCTCCCTTGACGTCCTGCTTACGCTGTCCTCTCATGAGTCATGCCCACTGCCTTCGCCATTGTCTATGAACATGTTTGAAAAACTAAGAATCCCAATGATTGTTTAACACCATCTTTTCCACTTTTATACATTCTCCGGACCTAAAATATTTTCTTATTTTGATTGTTTTATTTTGATTGTTTTGGTCTAACAGTGTGATATTCTTTAACGTCAAATTAAACATAATCTAAATAAATAAATATTATAAAAATTTGATATATCAAAACTATATTTTAAGATGAACTCAATTATATTGAATTCATATTATAATTAAATATATTTCTCTCATAATTTATGATCAAAGAGTGTCACTATTTGACTAAAAAAATTTAAAACAAGAAAGATTTTAAGAAATCACTCTAATAGGACTAAACATAGAGAAAATATCAAAACAAGAATTTCATAATTTTATTTCTTAAATACTCCCTCAGTTTCTCAAAACGGTTCCTATTTTGACTTTGAAGCAAATTAAGGAAAGTGTTAGTTGACTTTCCAATTTTGCCCCTGATGTGATGGGTAAAAGTAAAATATGATAGTTTAGTTATTAGTGGAAAAGTATGATGTGATAAGTAGGGTATGAAAAAAATAGGGGTAAAAGTGGTTTTTTAATAGAAAAAGGGAAGTGTTTTAAGAAAAACAAAAAAAATGAAAGATGAAGGGTTTTAAGAAACGGAGGGAATATGAGTTTGCACTGCGGTAATACGGAGTATGACATTGTACATGTGCATTTTACACAATGTGCATGGTCATGATATGTAATGTAAATGTGTTTTAAGTTCTATTTCGGGATTAAAAATGTAGAAATATTATTTTAATATATTTTTAATATTTTACCTCTACTTTAGTCTTTTTTCCAAAAGATTTTTAGGAACGGAGGGAGCTCATCATAACATAATATGCAAAGCTACATATTATGCAGCAATTCCTAGTGTAAGAAAAAACATACCTCGATGGATTTTTCTTAAGTAATTAACTCAATGTTTTTTTTTAAATCCCTGCAACATGACCACTACTATGAAAGGAACAAATGTGAAAATGAGATATCAGTGAAGAAGAAGAAGAACAGGCTTCCACAAACTGAGAGCATAGATGACCCTTCCCTTCCAACTCTGCAACATCCACTCTCCTCCTCCATCTTCATCCACACTGAAATCTCTGTGGTATCCCATCCCAACTTTTGCCTTCACTTCCCTCATGATCTCCTGGTTCAATGGGAGCAACCTGAGCCCTGCCCTCTCATTCCTCCCCCGCCACTGCTTGTACGTCTCCGGCCTCTCCACCCTCTCCCTCCCTTCACACGCCACCACGTTCACAATCTCCCTCCCCATCGCCTCTCCCTCCACCACCGCCCGCCCCTCGTCCTCCCCCGCCATCGTCGCCTCCAACATGTCGAACATGGCCGAGAAGTGGAAGTACGACTCCCGGAATCTTGTCGTGAAGAACGGGGCGTTGTAGCCCGCGTTCACCACGCCGTGGACGAAAAGTTTGGGGTTCAGTTTCTTGATCAGCTTCAGAACGCAGTCTCTCGGGTTGTTGTTCTCCACCACCTGTTCAACACACTTGTTATGTTGAGATATAATATAATATAGAGGGTGTTTGGGAATCATTAACTTGTGGATAAAGTGATTTCCACAAAAGTTGAAAGCAGAAACACCTCATATCTGCTTTTCCAAAACGGTGTTCTATGTACAAAATAGTGGTGGTGAAAAGCAGAAGCTGACATATCAAACAGAGTAAAATCACTTCCACTCAAACCAGAAGCTAAATTATTAAAAGTTGTGCACTACCAAACACCCTCATAATGCAATACAAATCCGCGTTTTTGTTTTTAGCAAACTTCTCAGAATATTTTCACCTACAAAACCTGTAGGTGAGCGCTCGCTGCTCCCACCTGCACGTTTTGTAGGTGAATCCAAGGTGTAGAAAGGAATTGTTGGTATTAATAATACCGTTTCATCGGGCACGTTCTTCAGCCTGTATAAGCAGTTGACCACAAGCATTTCGCTCGGATCAAGCTTGAGATCGTCTGGAGTGATTGTCTCCCATTGCTTGGCAATGGCATTATACTCGAAGGGGACGTTGAATCTCCTGGCAAAGTTCTCAAGCCTCCTCCCGGTTTCCTCTACCCTCTGGGCAGGCCTGAAGCCGGGTTGAGGGAAATCAATTCCAGTTATCCGAAGCTTCGGGGGCCCACCGGGTCGGAGTGAAATCCCGTGTATGATGCAGGGCCATTGGAAACCATAGAGGATGCCAAAATCAATGATGTGAATCTTTTCTGCTTCTCTGGTTCGTTTTGCTATCGACTTGTTGGCAAAAATGTTGGACATTCTCTTGAATGGGCAAGCTGTTATGTAGACCTGATAAGCTTTCAGATAATCTGCAACAGATGACATCCACTTGCCGGTTGTGTACAAGGATGTTCCTGCAGCAGCAGAGCGGGCTTCAAGGGCATTGGCAAAACAATGGGCAACTCTCTCGCGAGCATTGCCGTGAGGGGAAGAATGGAGCCTGACAGCTGTTAGCCATTGTTGGAAGCTCCTCTTGTTTCCGGAAGCCTCAGCCTGGGCACACTGAGAGAGAAGATTGCCTAGGTCGACGATCTCCTTAGTCTTGGCTCCATTTTTGCTTCCTTTAGGCCTTCCACGCTTTGGACCTTGCATATACTTTTCCTCTCTAGCTTTGTTTCTTGAAGTTTCTTGGGAAAGATGTGACGGATCTAATGAAGATCCGTCATAGAATGCAGGATTCATGGAAGGACAGAGCAAGGCCTTGTCGTACTTATCTGTTTCTTCTGGCTCTTGAGAGTCACCATTAATGGCAGACTGCTTGTTGCTCCGCTCTTCTCCACACGAACTGCTAACATCTCTGCTGTGTTTTTTCGTCTCATCGTTTCTTCCTCCCTCAGAAGAAGCATTTTTTATCGAGTGCGTCTGGGTTCTCCCTCTTGAAGGAAGCACGAAGAACCCAGTTTCAAACAAGGAGCTAGGCAAGTCATCCATTAATGGAGAAGGATTATTCATGGGAGGGTCCATGTCTGTGATTTGAGACCAAGAAGGAGAGGGAGGATGGTTGAGAGTGAGGGCATCATAGAAAGACTTCTCGGCAGCCTGGAGTGCCATGGAGTCTTGAAACATGCAAGGTCTATATTCCAAATCGTCTTCCTCCATGAGCATCTGCTGTATGTACTTGAAGACTCCGTCGAAGTAGTCGCCTTCAACCGGAGAAGATGAAGAAGCTGGACTGCCATTGCAGGTTTCTGCAGATTCTTCATCCCTGGAGCTATGCCGAGCTTGAAGAAGGGTGGCCATCATTTAATCCCAACCCAAGAGAGAAAAACTGTGATTGCCTGGTTGCAAACTTTGAGGGCTGTAATGGTACTTGAAAGACAGGTTCAGATCTTTCACAAGGATGATTTTTCTGTGGAATATTTGGAACTTGGAAATGATAAGATGGATAATATCCAAAATGGGATTTATGCGAAATTCTAGAGACAGATTAATAGAGTGGGAAATTAAATTATGCAGATAGGTTCAAAAGAAGACAGGATTATAGACTACATGCATGTTCCAGCTTCTGACAATGCAATGGATGGATGCACTTGAATGTTAATGGAAACATTGCAGAAAAAAGAATGGGTGGAGTGAATTAAAAAATAAATAAAAAGTTGAGTGGGGTTTCCAATTTCTCTAGTCCTACAGCTTGGTATATGAATGAAGTACAGAGTATAAGAAATTTATTATAATCCCAATGGGGTCAAAACTCATGCTATTTTATCCTTGTATATATACTGCAACTGGAACCTCAGTATCATAGAAATAACAGGGAAATTCCGCCCTGGAGAGTTTGAGGTTTGTTTTGGTGCATTAATGGAGGGGAGAAAGGGGAGGGGAAATCGATCACCTTTACGAAAAAACACTTGCAGATGAATGTAATAACTAAAATAATGTCACAGATCATTACATAAATAACAGGTAATTTCAACACCAACAAACACATCATGAAACAAAGCCAGCTGAATGAAGAAAAAAAAAGTCTCATAATGATTTTTTGTAAAGCTATTGTTCATACTTCATACTACCATCGACAGAAGCAATAGACCCGTTCTATGTGCCTGGTGAGCATATGACAAAGCTATGAGATGTATAGAAACAGTGCAACAGTGGCATTTTAAAAGTTCACACAAATGCCAATTAAGTTGATATAGGCTAGCATGGTCACAGTCTAGAGTGAGTGCTTGTTTACGTGGGAACGATTGGCTTGTTTAGAGATTTCTATGCAGGCACCCAACAAGAGCTGGCACAAAGAATCCGCCCCTTCCACCCCTGCAGCATCCAAACGTCTTCTTTATCAAACAGAAAGTCTTTGTGGTACGCCTTCAGCTTTTTTCTTAGCTTGTTCATGCACTCGGAGTTCAGTGGAAGAGGCTTGAACCCAGCCCTCATACTCCTCAAATGCCACCGCTTGTAAGTCTCAGGCCTCACAATCCTCTCTGCCCCCTCGCATGCAATCACATTCAACATCTCACGCCCATAGAATTCTTGCTCAAAAAGAAACCTCTGTGGATCATCACGAGATAATGTAGACTCAAAGATGTCAAAATGTGCATGGTAGTGGAAGACGGCCTCACGGAACCGAGTCGCAAAGAATGGAGAACTAAAAGATCCATTTTGAATAGTGTGCACAAACACACCTGGGTTCAGTTTGAGGATTAGCCTTAGAACCGCATCACGAGGACTGTCCACCATCACTGTTTCATCAAGTAGGTCTTTTAGCCGAAACGAGCAGTTCACCGCAACCATCTCATCACTTCTTCTAGCAAGCTTAAAATCTTCAATTTTAATTGCCTCCCAATTTTGAGTTGCTATAGCATTGTACTCAAACTGCACGCCAAAACGTTCGCAATACTTGGCTAGGCGGCGCCCGGTCTCTTCTATCAATTCCGCTGGCCGAAAACCCGGTTGAGGAAGATCTATTCCTGTAACGCGAAGTTTAGGAGGTCCACCCGGCCTCATAGAAAGGTGTTGGATAAGAGCAGGCCATTGGAAACCATACTGAATACCAAAATCTATAAGATGTAGCGTTTTGGCTTCCAGTGACACCATGTAAACCATTTTATTTGCATAGCCTATTGATATCTTCTTAAACGGGCATGCTGACATGTAAACTTGGTATGCTTTCAGCTTCTCAAAAGCTGTGATCCTTTTACGAGGTAGAGATGTATAGAGCTGGGTCCCCGTACCAGACAAGCGTGCCTCAAGACCATTAGCCAATACATATGCCAGCCTCTGATTCGCATCACCATTAGGGGAACAATGCTCCTGGATCAGTTTTAATTGTTCATTTGCAGTCCTGCGATCATTAGCACCAATTGATTGCGCACAGCTGATTAAAAGAGTCCTTAGGTCTACAACTTCACTTGTATCTCCCTGCGGCCTCTCTGCACTGTGTTTGCCGCCATTTGGCACATCATGTGGCTTGCTTTTTACGGCTTCAGACAAGAGTTGAATATCCCCACCATTGGGAACATTATGTGGCAGGCTATTGCGAATTTCAGATGAGGATAAAATATTCATGCGACACTCATCCGGATCACACAGCAAAACTTTATCAAACATCTCTGATAACTCCTCTTCCACATACACTGCAGATTGCTTGCTGCTCCTCTCTTCCTCAAACTCATTGTTATCCGGATGGTGATGCTTCTTTCTGCTTGTAGACGAATTAAGTGAACTGTTTATATTATTTTTCTCTACCTTGGTGATTGTATCATTTGGCATCTCACCTGTCTTTGGAGGGAATGAATACTTATCCAAATCAAGTGCCAATTGAGCATTAGTGGGGAGAAATTTATTAGCTTCCTCCATTCCTCTCTTGAAATGCATTATGGCCTCTGTGTTACTAAATATATTTCCAAGCTCGCTAGGATTCCACAAAGAATCCACTTGGACATGCATACTACTCCCACTACTATTCAGAGAGCCATTTAACCTCCCAGAAGTGGTTTGAAAAGAATGGGAGTATGGTTCAGGAGGACAGCTCACTAGATGCGACTTAGATTGTCCAGGATCGACCATCCACTGAGATGAATCACTGTGATTGCTACTGGTGGAACCGTTGCTTGAATAAGGTTCACTGGAATTCTCGCATATGCTGCCCAAGCCTTCTGTATTATGGCTAGCCAGGGATTGATGAGGTGAAGGGTGGTTCTTATCAAGGGCTTCATAGAAGTAATTCTCAGCAGCTTTAAGAGCAATAGGATCATGGAACATACTGGGCTTCGCATCAATGTCTTCCTCCAATAGTATCTGGTTGAGGTACTTGAAAACAGGGTCAGTGTCATGATCATCTGGAGAGTCCAACTCTGCAGGTGGAGCAAAATGGTCATTGTTCGAAGTAGGTGAAGTCAAAGGGTCACCCGTGAAATACAGAGCTAAAGAGTCGTCCAAGTAATTGTAAGGAGTGTCTTGAGATTGTTTAAAGCTAGGAAAAAAGGGCTCATCTTGCTGCTTGAGTGTGCTTACGGAGTCAGGCAACCCAGAGAACTGAAGATCCATCAAGAGATATGTGACAAGGACCTGCACGATCCATAGTCAAAACATGAGTAATCGATGCGTTCAAAGACAATGACTCTGCGAGTGATCCTGATAACAAAGACCATCCCGCCGCAATGAACATCATTAACAGATGCCAATTGGGTTTTCAGAAGCATTTACAGAGTTACCAGCAAAGATATATTCAGAAAGTGCCACACATTTGGTAGTGATTCATAGAGAAATAGTGTTACAACTATCAATTGCAGAAAGAGGTATGAATTGAATTCCTGGGTTAACAAACAAAAAACGGATCACCCAACACTTCAAAAGCTAAACCCATTAAGTTTATTCTTCTCTTCTTCTTTTTCCTTCTTAATTTCACAATAATCGCTCGCTAACATTTTCAAAGGAAATCCCACAAAGAATAACAGGAAAATAAGGGCAAACAGATATGCAGAAACACATACGGAGTAGAGTTTATGTATGGGATGCTAAAACACTGCAGCTGTAAGTTAGCCAAGTCCAAAACCCTTTTAAGAAATCTCACTGAAAAATGAAAACTTGTATAGCTTAAACCCTAGCCTTTAATTGGAATGAATGATCATAGTCACTGAAAAACAGAGAAGTACTGGATTGTATTGGAATTTCAACGAATCACAAGGAGAAAAACCATAGAACAGCGTGGATCAGTAGAGAAAAGATCAAAGGAATCGCTCAGAAACCATTCAATAGATAATTCAGATGCGTACCTTAGAGCCTAAAGAATTGGAGAAGAGGAAGACAGAGTTTGAGCAGTCCAAAACATGTGCGGGCACAAGGCAAAGTCACTCTAATCATTGAGAGTGAGGGAAAATGTTGCCCAACCAGACGAAGTTTCTCCGAAAAAGGAGAGAAAAGTCGGCCGCAAACAGTGGTACTTTCCCAAAAAGAAAAATATTCCCTAATACAAATAAATTCATTTTTTTCATATCAAAAAGAAATTCATTTCTCGCCTTTTTTCAATAGTTAAATGAGAATGTGATGCTAAAAACATCTTGATCCATTGGAAAAATATCTTATTAGGTTTTTATATTTTTTTCAAAGCGTTCCTCGGGTCCCTGAATTATTTTAAGTGTTTCTTAGGTCCTTAAATCTTCTAATTGATGCACAAATAGTCCTTCTGGTGACTTTTCTGGACAAAACTCTGACATACAGTCTGTTTTTATTTTTTAAAAAGTTCATTCACTTTTTGACCTTCACGTAAACGGTATGTCAAAATTTTGGCCAGAAAAGTCATCGAAGAAATTATCTAGGCATCAGTTGGAAAGTATGTGGACCTGATAAGTACTTAAAATAATTTAAGAACATGACAAGCACTTTTAAAAAAATATAGAGACCTAGTCTAACATTTTTCCTTACTTTAATAGTAAGAAATCGCCTTAAATAGGAGTAAAAATATAGAGAAAATATTAAAATAAAAATTCTATGTTTTTATCTTTAGAATAGGAGTTTGCAATGTGGTAATGTCGCGCTGTATATGGACATTTCATAATATTTTTTGATAATGTATATGGTTATGATTTACAATTCATATGTATTTTAGCTCATATTTCAAGAATAAAAACATGAAACTCCTATTATAGTATATTTTCAATGTTTTATTCCTATTTTAGTCTTTTTCTCCTAATAATTCTTCACATTTTTTCTTCTTTTTAAATTATAGACCCTACATGTCATTAATTTGTTTTATCTTCATATTTTTTATTACTTCATCCGTTCATAATTTATTTTCTCACTTTTCTTATTTGGTCTTTCATAGATTGTCTTCCCTTTTTTTGCAAATGTTTTTTAAACTACATTAGTACCCTCGCCTTTATACGTTATAATTACCGCAATATATACCGTACAACCGGTTGTACGTTATTTCCGGTACATTTACAGCGAGTTATTATCTATGAGTAACTAAATACTCATTCTCGAGCAAATAAATACTCATTTTTGAGTAAAAGAAATATCTCTAGATAGGAGTAAAAAGTTTAAAAATACTAAACAGGACTCCTAAGTCTTTTAAAACCAAAATAAGAGTATAATGGCATTGTGGTGTAAGAGTACGTATTAGCACTGTGATGGAAAAACGATGATAGTGTAATATGTGTTGTTATCAGTCAACCGTCAACGATCTGCAGCAACACTCTTGTGGCCGGTAGGGATGGATGACAGTGTGCTGGCTACAGTTACAATCTTGTAGAATTAGCTTCAAACAAATTTTCTAAATTATCACAATAGGAGGAAATAATTTTTTTAAATAATTAACGATAATATGCAATAAATACTCCCTCCGTCCTATATCTTTCTTTCCAGAGCATTATTCCAACTTCACGGGAATTTATATTTATTTGTGTTTTTTCATGGCTTATATGATAAAATAAAATATTCTTGTCACCACTTGTTTTGTTGAACTTTTGATGTAGTTTTTAAACATGTATGTTTTATTTTTTATTTCTATACCAATATTTAAATAAAATAGATTGAAAAAACTTGGGATTTTTCTTCGTTTTGTGCAACGGGAAGAAATAAAATAGGTGGAGGAAGTAATTTTTAATTGACATAAAAATAATTACGAAGTATATAAAATAATCAAGCAAAGTAATGTTTGTAAAAAAAAAAGAAGCTTAACATTATCAAAAGAAAATACTCCCTACTTTTTTTCTCCTTTTTCTCTTTCNCTCTTTCTTTTATTCTTTTCCCCTCTTTCCCCGGCGCAAGTTCTTCCACCCCTTCTCTCTCTTCTTTTCATCAACTTACTAATTTAACCATTTTCTCTCTTTACTTTAACCATTTTTCTCTCTTTTACTTTAACCATTTAACCTTTTTCGGTTTTTCCTCAACTTATTTTAACCATTTCTTATTTTTCGTTTCTTATTTTTTCCTTTTATAACACTTTTTTATCTCTTTTTTTCTTTTTCCTAGAAAAAAAATTAAATTTCCTTTCAATTTTTGATATTATTTTACAATAATCAAAAATCTCTGGGTTTGAAATAAAAATAAAAATAAAAAATTAACATATATTTCATTTATCTCAAATTGAACATTTTCACCTTTTGTTTTCTAGAATAAATTTTTTGGTAAGTTCAAAAAAAAATCTAGAATAAAAATAAAAATATGGAAAAACGACTTGAAAAGATTGAAGCATACAAAGAGAGTCTTATACAAAAATGAATTTTTATAACGCCTAAAAAGTTCTTAGAATTGGGATGTCCAAGAAGGATTCGTTTTTGTTTTTATTTTATTTTATTTCTTATTTTATTCCTCATTTTTTGAAGTTCGCAATAGAATTTTTTATTTTTTATTTCGGATAAGAAAAAAATACTCCATATTAATTTGGGATGTACAGATGCAATAGATATTAATTATTATTTTTTTCAAACATAAATAATTTTAAATTATAAAAATATTCCAAAAACAAGTTTAAAAAAATATTTAAAAAACCCTTGATTACTAAAAGAGACAAATAAAGGAAAAAAAAAGGGGAGAAACAAAAAAATTAACGAAAAAATAAGAAATAAGCACGAATTTCCAATGTGGTTTGAAAAATAGGCATCAATGCCCACTTTTACGTCGAAAAGTGACCAGAAATTGATCAGATGGGGTACGGATGTAACGTTTTAAAACCACGAGAACTTTAAAAATACGCTTTGAAAACAAGGAAATGTTGGTGCATATTTTTCAAACCACAGGAGGTACTGATGCTATTTGGCCTTAAGGCCTTGGGGTGTGCCGCAAGGGAAAGGCTAGCGGGAAGCCACCTGGCGCGGGAAGGGAAGGGAAACAACCCGCTCACCCCCGCTGCGGGAACAGGAAGAGCGGGAACCTCTCCCCGTTTTCCCCGTCCAATTTTCTTCTTCTTCTTCTTTTATTTTTCTTTTCTTCTCTTTCTTCTTTCTCCTTTTTGTTGCTTCTTTCTTCTTTCTTTATTTTTTCCTTTATTTTGTTACTTCTTTTCCTTTTTTTAGTTTTTAATTGTTCTGTTTTTTAATTTTGATTTTTTCAGTTTTTCTGTTCATTGATTTCTTTTTTTTTGAGTTTTTGTAATTGTTTTTATTTAATTGTATATTATGATTTTAGTTTAATTATTTTAATTAAAATAAGTGCTAAAACAAGTTTTAGTTTAGTTTTTTTAGTTGCGTACATTAATCATTTAATCTATCAATTTTATTATGTTTTTATTTTAATTCTAATGGATCACTTTTAATGAATCACTATAAATTTTAATGAAATGTTTAGTTCTTATAAGTTTAATAAAAAATAGTTAAAAGTAAATTTTCATTATATTTATACTTTTAGTTTAATTATTTAAATAAAAATAATTGTTTAAAAATAATACGAAGTATTAAAAATTGAAGGAGAAAAGGGGAAGATATTTCTCTGAAAGGAAAGAGAAGAAGAATGAAAATATGAAGTTGGCGTAACATTGAATTGGCAAACGGAAAAGGGAAAAGCACACCTGATGGCTTAATAGTTCCTCCCACTTTCCTTTTCTTTTAATGGTGGGCCCAGAAATCATAAATATATTTAATTCATTTAAAAGATAAATCATTTTAGTATTTTGTACTCCGTAATACGGAGTAAGTTTGTTTTATCTACACAATATTTATCATACTAAATCAAAATAAGGTATTTTAAAATAAGTAATGTAAATTCTTCGGGGAATGTGCATTCCCCCTTCTCTCTCCTTTCCCCTCCCTATTTTAACCATTCTTACTTTCTCTTTTTCCACCTAGTCATTTCTCAACAATTCTCTTCCCAATATAGTTACTTTAATATTCTAAGGCTCCGTTTGGTATATGAGATTCAAACTATAGAGTTTGAATTGAGGACAACAATTCCAATTTTGATGTTTGGTAGCACAAAAATATGTGGACTTGGAATTGATAGTGCCAAAAATGAATTGGATTTGGAAGATTCAAATTTCATAGAATTTCAACTTTCAATTCAATTCCAATTCTATAAATTTCATGTACCAAACGGACCATGAGTGAATTACACTTTACTCAAATCAAAATAAAATATTAAGTTTTTAACTCATTTATTAAAAGATTGATATAGAGATAAAAATCAAATTTACATATTTAAAAATTATATTTAAAGTTCTACAAAACTAAAAGTGACAGAAATATTGTGTCATCAAATAGTCAACGAAAAAACCTAAATAAACAAAAGTTTCCCTTATTTTTAAATAGTGAAGAATGTAAATATTTGTGGGACGGGGGGGTATATAACAAACTTTCCTTATTTTTTGATGTGAAACAGTAACGCTGACTACTATATTTGTCAAGTTTGACTTTTTAGAATCAAATTGGACGAATTTGGCATTTCAATTACTCTCAATTTGTATTGCATATTAGAATAACAAAATAAAATATTGAAAATTATCGATAAGATAAATCTAATAAAATCAAATTTATACTAAAATATATTGCGATTTTTATTTAATTAAAGCTCAAATTTCATCTAATTTAATTTGAAAAGGTCAAATTAGGATTATAAATACTCTGTAGAAGTTACACTGAGATCTAATCTTCATCATATTGTCTTTGAGCATATCAAACTCATAGACACAAGTTCATGTTCGGCTATTTGTTTAAAAAAGGGCAAACTTAGTCAACACTAAGAGGGTGTTTGGGGTTGCGTTTAAAAACTACTTATGAGCTTTTCCTTTACTAAAATAATATTCGTTGTGCTTGCTAATTTGCTTCTGTTTATAGAGTATGACTTCTGCAGTCTAACATGAACTCCAGAAGTACTTTTTAGCAAAGTTAAAAATGACTGCTTTTCGCTTTGACTTAAACATTCTATTTTTCAACAATCTACCAGACTTTCAAACATCCTCTGAAGAGCGAATCCATAGAAAAAGTTTGTTTGTGTTGTGCGAGCAAACCCCACATGAAATATTTACACAGCGGATAGTAAAGCCGAATAAACTTTTTAAAATTATATATTCTTTCACGTAATAGGATAGCATGACCATGGTGTTGTTGCTCCGAAGCGTGAAGTTTTTAAGAGG